CTTGAACCCGGGAGGTGGAGGCTGCAGGGAGTCGAGGTCGCACCACTGCACTCCAGCCTTGCTCCACAAGAGTGAGACTCCGTCTCAACAGAAAGAAAAAAGCGTCTGGAATTACGCCTGAATCATCCAACTCAGTAAATGTTAACTATTATTATGATGCTACTTCTTCGGATAATCACTGACCATGCATCTGTTTCTCCTGTTTTCCAACAGCTAGAAGAAAAACTCAAAGAAAAAGTGGATGTAAGTCTGATTGAACGAATCAATCTGACTGGAGAGATGGACACGTTCAGCACGTAGGTACCTCGCACACTTGCTCACTGCCTGTCTCTCTGTTACACAGCAGCGTTCAGCATGTATGTACCTCGCACACTTGCTCACTGCCTGTCCTCTCTCTGTTACACAGCAGCGTTCAGCACGTACGTACCTTACACACACTTGCTGCCTGTCCTTTCTCTGTTACACAGCAGTGTTTAGCACGTATGTACCTCGCACATGCTTGGTCACTGCCTGTCCTTTCTCTGTTACACAGCAGCGTGCCTCAGGCTGTTGGCTTTAGTCACTGCAGAACCTAAGAGGTTTCTGTTGGGTCAGAATGAGTCCCTACTAGCCACTAAGAAGCAGCTTCAGAACTGGGCTGCCGTTGTACCTCCTCAAATGCAGTCGCTCTTTTAGCTTATGGGGCCTGTATTGTCTCACTGTGAAGAATAACCACAGAGAAGACATTCTCCCTTGGCCATCCCTGATCTGCCCCACCTGAACCCACAGAAGGCCAGGCCTACCTTCAGTGTTTTAAAGTGTAAAGTATAAATGGCTTGAATTCAGCCACTGAGGGAATAAGAGTGTGGGGTGGCAGGGGAGGTCCGCCTTCTTTCCCTGTTAGGACCTTGTGGCACTTTAGTTTTGGTCCATTTCTGCTCCACTGCCATTACATGAGACAGGCATGGCCAGGCCGCAGCTTTCACATCAGCCGCTTATTGAGAAAAAATCAAAATTCTCTTCTTAGTTATTTCTTCCACTTCTCTTAACTTTATTTTCTTCACTTCTGACTTAAACATTTTTGGGAAGCAAGTTCTTTTGTAGGAAGATGTGAACAGGGATACTGGGGTGGTGATTAGGGAGACTGGCCGTGGGGTAGAGCTTAGAAGGTAGGGGTGCAGCAGAGCGAGGGAGTGGGCCAGAGGGCTGAGCAGGGCGCGTTTCAGGGAGAGGAAGAAGTGGAGAGCTTAGAAGGTAGGGGTGCAGCAGAGCGAGGGAGTGGGCCAGAGGGCTGAGCAGGGTGCGTTTCAGGGAGAGGAAGAAGGAAGTGTGAAGTATGAAGGTCCTGAGGGCGAAGGACCCTGGGGTCTCCCAGAAATTTAAAAGGCCAGTGTAACTGAAGCCTAGCAGGCAAGGTGGAAAGTAGCAAGACGGGGCCAGAAAGCTGGGCAGGACCCAATTCATGGTTAGGAATTTGGATTTTATTTTCAGTGTCATAGGAAGAGCCTGCTGAAGAGTTTAAGCATGATAAGCCTGTGCCATAATTTGTTTTATCCCTTATAAATACACATGTAGATTGTTTCCAGCTTTATGAGGACAGTATTGATCTGTTTTGTTCACTGAATAACTCTCTTATTCTGTTACACAGCCTGAACAAAGAAGGCTTTCAGTAAATATTGGTTGAATTAATGAATGCTGCAAAAAATACTTGCGTATCTTTATCCATTATTCTTCTTATTTCATTGAAATGCATTTCTAGCTGTGAAATTGCTGGTTTAGGCAATATGTGTATTTAAATTTTTGCTTCTTGAATAAATTGCCTTCCAAAAAGGTTATACTAATTTATGCACCCCAATAGCATTTTCAAATTTAAGACAAAACATTGGTTATTCTGGCCAGGCGCGGTGGCTCACGCCTGTAATCCCAGCTGTAGTCCCAGCTACTCAGCCCTTTGGGAGGCTGAGGTGGGTGGATCACCTGAGGTCAGGAGTTCAAGACCAGCCTGGCTGATATGGTGAAACCCCATCTCTACTAAAAATACAAAATTAGCTGGGCGTGGTGGAGCATGCCTGTAATCCCAGCTACTCGGGAGGCTGAGGCAGGAGAATCGCTTGAACCCGGGAGGTGGAGGCTGCAGGGAGTCGAGGTCGCACCACTGCACTCCAGCCTTGCTCCACAAGAGTGAGACTCCGTCTCAACAGAAAGAAAAAAGCGTCTGGAATTACGCCTGAATCATCCAACTCAGTAAATGTTAACTATTATTATGATGCTACTTCTTCGGATAATCACTGACCATGCATCTGTTTCTCCTGTTTTCCAACAGCTAGAAGAAAAACTCAAAGAAAAAGTGGATGTAAGTCTGATTGAACGAATCAATCTGACTGGAGAGATGGACACGTTCAGCACGTAGGTACCTCGCACACTTGCTCACTGCCTGTCTCTCTGTTACACAGCAGTGTTTAGCACGTATGTACCTCGCACATGCTTGGTCACTGCCTGTCCTTTCTCTGTTACACAGCAGCGTGCCTCAGGCTGTTGGCTTTAGTCACTGCAGAACCTAAGAGGTTTCTGTTGGGTCAGAATGAGTCCCTACTAGCCACTAAGAAGCAGCTTCAGAACTGGGCTGCCGTTGTACCTCCTCAAATGCAGTCGCTCTTTTAGCTTATGGGGCCTGTATTGTCTCACTGTGAAGAATAACCACAGAGAAGACATTCTCCCTTGGCCATCCCTGATCTGCCCCACCTGAACCCACAGAAGGCCAGGCCTACCTTCAGTGTTTTAAAGTGTAAAGTATAAATGGCTTGAATTCAGCCACTGAGGGAATAAGAGTGTGGGGTGGCAGGGGAGGTCCGCCTTCTTTCCCTGTTAGGACCTTGTGGCACTTTAGTTTTGGTCCATTTCTGCTCCACTGCCATTACATGAGACAGGCATGGCCAGGCCGCAGCTTTCACATCAGCCGCTTATTGAGAAAAAATCAAAATTCTCTTCTTAGTTATTTCTTCCACTTCTCTTAACTTTATTTTCTTCACTTCTGACTTAAACATTTTTGGGAAGCAAGTTCTTTTGTAGGAAGATGTGAACAGGGATACTGGGGTGGTGATTAGGGAGACTGGCCGTGGGGTTCTGTGTCCTGACTGGCTGAGGATACAGCCGGGTAAAACCAGGACGAGAAGAAAGAGCCAAGCTGCTCTTCCGCTGTCATTGATTGAAGCTCAGACTTTGCCGATGAAATGATGAATCTGAGTTTGACACAGAGGCCTGAGTGACAGTCGTTCAGACGGCCGTTGTTTGAAGGGGTGACCACAGTGATTTCTTTGATTTGCAGCGTCATCTCCAGCAGTATTCAGCTGCTGGTTCAGGATCTGGATGCCGCCTGTGATCCTGCCCTGACAGCCATGAGCAAGGTAAGGTCGTGGGAAATGGCGTCTTACAAACTAGCGAGAGCAGCCCCAGGTGGCGTCGACTGTCTGTGGCTTCTCCAGGCTCATCGGAGCTTGAAGGACCAGCTGAGAGGAGAACGGAACGGCCCCGGAGTTCCTGAGAGCACTCAGTGTGTGTTGCACCCGGGTCGGGTCAGTTGCTTGTCCTTTTAGAGACAGAGCATCACACAGTATTGGAGGATGGCAAAAAAAAAAAAAGAGACGAAGTAAATGTGTTTGATGAGTCTAAAGGAGATGTTGTCTGTGGTTTATGTTTTTTAAAGAGAGGGTCTCTCTTTGTCACTCAGGCTGGAGTGCAGTGGTGCCATCATGGCTCCCTGCAGCCTCGACCCTCTGGGCTCATCCGTCCTCCTGCCTCAGCCTCCCAAGTAGCTGAGACCACAGGCGCTTGCCACTGCATCCAACTACTTTTTAAATGTTTTGTAAAGCTAAGAGTCTTGCTGTGTTGCCCAGACTGGTCTTGAACTCCTCGCGTCCAGCAGTCTTCCCACCGAGGCCTCCCAAAGTGCTGGGATTACAGGCATTAGCCGTGGTGCCCCGCTGAGATGGATCATTTTTAATTACTGAACGCTCCCTCATGTTCCTATTTTTGGCTTTTATGTGCCTATGCCTTTTTTTCCCAAATGAATGTCAGTTCCGTAAGTGCACAGACCATGTCTTTCACCCCTCTTTTTTCTCTCGTGTAGTCTTGAATGTGGGAGATTCATTTTTGTTAATTAAAACTGAGTCAGCCATGTTCCTTTATTTACGTATTATCTTTGATTAGTGTCTGAGACATGCTAAAAACCTTGGTGTGGTCTCACCAGAGTGGGTGTTCTCCTTAGTGCTTAAAGCAGTAACTTCTGACTCATTCTTCATTCTCGCCCACTGAGAGGTTTTTCCGACTCGTTCTGAGCTCTGGTGCCAGGGCAAGAGTCCTTGATGAGGCTGTGAACTCTGGTTTTCTAATATCCTGGTGGCCCATCAGTCAGCCCTTGGCCCTCAAGTCCCTCCTTTGGCACTTACCGAGCACTACCTCATGTTCCTATTTTTGGCTTTTATGTGCCTATGCCTTTTTTCCCAAATGAAGTCAATTCCGTAAGTGCACAGACCATGTCTTTCACCCCTCTTTTGTCTCTCGTGTAGCCTTGAATATGGGAGATTCATTTGTGTTAATTAAGTTGGAAATGGGTCTTTGTTATGCTAAACCCGAGGAACATGAAGTTGCAACTCTAGAACTTTGCTGAACAGGGATTGGTAAACCAGAGCTTGGGAACCAAATCTGGCCCACTGCTTGTTTTTGAAAATAAAGTTTTATTGGAACACAGCCACGTTCCTTTATTTACGTATCCTCTGTAGCTGCCTTTTTGCAATATGGTGGTAGAACTGAGTCATTGCAACAGAGACTAGCCCACAAAGCTAAAAAAATTTAATATTTACTCTCTGACCCTTTATAGAAAAAGTTTGCCAGTGTCTGCTCTAGAGTCCTAGGCTCTTGTAGCAAATTCTGGAGAAATGATTTCTCTGGGTCATACTGGCCAGTACCAGAGGGCAGTGGGAGGAGCACTAACTTTGGAGTCAGACAGACCTAACTCTTCCAGGGCTTCCTTTGGGGGTCTTGAGCAGAGGATTCACCTGTCTGGGCCAACGTGACCTCATCTGGGCCCACGTACCCCAAGGGAACTGTGGATCTCTGCATCCCAGCATTGCTGTGAGGATGAAACACGGAACACACGGGTCTAGTGCCGGGCACATAGTAAATACTCATGAAATGTTAGTTCCCTTTCCCTCTTGTCAGGAGGAGTGACCATGTCACAAGGTTGTGTAAGCAGACATTTGGTCTGAATTTGGTTTTGCAGTAGATTGTAAATATTTAACAAAAATAAGATTAAAACCAAAACGTAGACTTTGGGGTTTTATGAACTGAAGTGGCAAGTCCTAAAATAGCTCACGTCACAGTTTTATTCAGAAAGCTCATCTTTTTCACGAGTCCGGTGCTGACAGGCACGTCCGGCATCCTGGGCATTCACAGGAGGACGCTCCGGGCAGGCGGACGGAGGCCAGTCCGGGGGACGCTCCGGGCAGGGGGACGGAGGCCAGTCCAGGGGACGCTCCGGGCAGGCGGACGGAGGCCGGTCCGGAGGCGTGGAGGAGTTCGTTTTGCAGGCTCTGCTTATCCCCTCCTGCTGGTGACCATTCCCCACATCCTGAGTGTGATCTGTCCCAGCTGCCGTCTCTCCTGAACTGCACACACTTCAGGTTGGAATGCAGCTGGTGAAAGCATTTTCACATTTACCTAAAGGAAGAGTGGATTTTTTTTTTTTTTCAATAAAATCACAGTTGGAAGGGGTTTAACACTGCAGGTGTTGCTTATACCAACTGTCAGTTGGTTCTGTGGATTTCCCTCAAACCCTGCCTCATCCCACCCTCTACTTCTCCCCGTGCCCACACCAGCAAATATTCACAGAGACCGTGCCTCCCGAGTCCTTTGTTTCTGTCATAGGAAAACCACAGACTTGGGGACGCAGCAGCTGGGAGGCCGTTACTTTTTGTCTGAGTCTTCTGGAGTTGTAGCAAAATAAAATCCATGTGATGGAAGTAAACAAGCCAAGTGGTCACAAACTGATTCAACATGCATTCTGTGTTCTTTATGCCTGCATCCTGTTTTGTGTAGTTTCTTCTAGGATTTTAAAAAACTTCTGTGATAATGGTTGTTTCTGTCTCTGATTCTATCATTTTTGCCGCTGGTTGGACAGTTCAGTTCAGACCCTGCCCAGCACAGTGCTGGGAGCTGCGAGGCTCAGAAAGGCGTAAACCTTTGGCTGAGGTATTTAGATTCCAGGAGCTGAGGGCAAGAGACGTGTAAGATGACAGCGACACCCGGTAACTTTAATAAAAGAGGTGAGGAAATCAGTGCCGTAAGAAAAGTACGAAATACGCCCTTTAAAGAGGGAGGAGTTCATATCCAGGTGGGGAGGCAAGGAAGGCCCTGGTAAGGAAGCGGTGTTTGAAACAGGTCAGGGTGAAGTTCTGAATGAATTTGTGATTAGGAGGGCAGTTCAAACGGGGTGAAAACGTGAGTAAAGTTCTGTGAGGTGAGGAAAGCTGAAGAGTTTGGTGAAAACTGCCACTCTCAGTCAGCATCCCAGGGGTTCCTCCGGCTCCTCCTGTACTTGGACTGACAGGGTTAAGATGGGAAAGGAGACTGCCCTCAAGGAGCCTGTACCCTGCTGGGAAGAAAACTGAGAAGAACCAGTACTGTAAATAAACGTATCTTAGAAATGTCAGAAGGACGGTTGACTTGCCAAAATGGAGCTGGATGATTCTGAGTTGACGGAGGGAGCTTTCCTTGACAAGATGGATTGAGCCAGGCAACTTGGTTAAGTCATTTTCCTGGGAGACCTCATTCTCGTGGAAGGCGCCTCGTGGCCTTCGCCGTGGTTGGCATATAGAGCTTTCATTATCTGTCTCTTCACTCCACTGCTAGGTCAGTTTCTGCCGCTCCCTCCGGAGTATGTGCCCAGTTCTCCAGCCATAGCCATGTTTACTTCCCTGAATGCACATTGCTCTTTTGTGGCTTCCATGCCTTTTCTCATTTTATTCTTTCTGCCCACAATTTTCTTCCTGCCATCGTCTGCCCAAGGAGCACATCCTTTAAGATCGAGTTCGAATGTCTGTCCCCGTTTAAAAACCTGAGGTATAATTCACATACCATAGAATTCACCCTTTTAAAGTGTCCAGTTGGCCAGGCGCAGTGGCTTACGCCTGTAATCCCAGCACTTTGGGAGGCTGACGAGGGCAAATCATTTGAGGTCAGGAGTTGGAGACCAGCCTGGCCAGCATGGTGAGACCCCGTCTCCACTAAAAATACAAAAAACTTGCTGGACGTGATGGGGCACACCTATAGTCCCAGCTCCTCAGGAGGCTGAGGTAGGAGAATCACTTGAACCTGGGAGGTGGAGGTTGCAGTGAGCTCAGATCGCGCCACTGCTCTCCAGCCTGGGCGACAGAGTGAGACTTATCTTACGACTAAATAAAGTGCACAATTTAGTTGTTTTTAGTATATTCACAGTGTCATGAAACCACCACCACCATCAAATTCTAGAACATCTTCATCACCCCCAAAAGAAACCCCATACCTCTCAGCAGTCATTCTCCATTCTGCTGACAACCATTAGCCTACTTTCTGACTCTGTGGATTTGCCCCTCCCAACATTTCGCATACATAGAATCACATGGCGTGTGGCACATCTTGCGCCTGGCTCTCTTCACTTAGCGTCGTGTTTTCAGGGCACGTTCATGGTGGGGCATGTGTCAGCACTCCATTCCTTTTTGTGGCTGAGTGACATTCCATTGTGTGGATAGACCACATTGTGTTTATTCATTCATCTGTTGGATGTTTGAGTTATTTCTACTTTCTGATTTTGAATATTTCTGTGAACATTCACGTACAGGTTTTCGTATGAACATGTTTGCAGTTCTCTTCAATATGTACCTAAAGGCTGGGCGTGGTGGCTCAAGCCTGTAATCCCAACACGTTGGGAGGCCAAGACGGCCGGATCATCTGAGGTCAGGAGTTCAAGAGCAGCCTGGCCAACACGGTGAAACCCCGTCTCTACGAAAAATACAAAAATTATCTGGGTGTGGTAGCGCGCGCACCTGTAACCCCAGCTACTCGGGAGGCTGAGACAGGATAATGGCTTGAACCTGGGAGGCGGAGGTTGCAGTGAGCCAAGGTCTCACCACTGCACTCCAGCCTGGGCGACAGAGGGAGACTGTCTCAAAAAAAAAAAAAAAGTGCCTAAGGAATGGAACCGAAAGAGCCGTATGGTGAATTTATGTTTAACGTTTTGAGAAACTGCCAAACTGTTTTCTGAAGTGACTGTGCCATTGTATATTTCCACCACCAAAGTGTAAGGGACTCAGTTTCTCCACATCTTCCCCCACACTTGTTTTCCTTTTTTATTATAGCCATTTTCGTGGGT